TTCCCAAAAGAAAAAGTCACTTAAATTATATTTTTCTCAAAAACTACATTTATTAAGCTTTCTACTGATATATAGTTTGTTTAGGTTTTATTGAAACTGAAGCACGTGCGAATTTTTTCCTGAAGGGCACCCGCGAAGGTGTGAAGTAACCTTAATTTGATCTCAAAAATCCAGAATTCATACACTCTTAGACAGTTCATTTACATCTATAATACGGACGCTTCCAAAATACGTACGCTTGCTATCTTTATTAATACCAATAACGAAAACCTGTAAAGACGTTGAACTTCGCCTAGGTCCTTGGTGCTTAGCGGTACTTAGTAGTAGTGGTGCTTATTGGTAGACCGCAAGAAGAGTTAGCATCAAATAACGAGTCCAATGGGTTTGAGCGATGTTCAATTGAGAGTCGTAAAACGAAAACCAAACTTATGTACTTACCGATTAGACAACTCAGCAAATCTCAAAACAAGTAAAGCAAACGACAAAGTTAAATCAACATATAGAATATAGAGTATAGAATATAGAGAGTAATTCGCATAAATTAAATACGCACGTAAAAAGAATGTTCGGAAGAATGCAAAAAGCGCTAAAATTAATGTTTGTTTGAAAGAATGTTATATTGTCTCAGGAGTGGGCATGAATTATTGTCAGCTTCAAAAGTTTTGGCCGTGTGCCATGATTCCAGTGTCTTTCACCGAAATTCAGAATTGCCTGGCCGTTAGGACCATGATAACAAAGCATTAAATAACATCCTAGGGAAGTAGATTGTAAGAGGTGACTCATTACTGAAGTCTTTTTATGTGAACTGTTGTAGGCACTACTCCCAAATTAACCTCCACGAAAGAGGAATCCAATTATGCTCAGTTGTGTCAGATTCTGGTCACTGTGGGTTCGGCATTCCTGAGGGAAACATTTGACAGAATCATTCCGCCACAAAATCTTCGGAAACATTTGAAAGATTATCAAAATCATGACACACTGCGGTCACTTCGAAAGCAAAGAATCCTCACTTCAAAGCAATGGGGTCAACTGTATCCTGATCGCGCTTCCTCGGTGGCATCCAAAGACTTTGACCCTACACTTCTTATGATTCTGTTAAGGACAGTTTGTAAGTTGACTCCACCAACAGCTGGCTGGGACGTACCTCCTCATGCAGCAGACACAAGTCGCGAGGCTGACATAGCCCGCGTGAGGTATTTCATGAATACTGTGCTTGACCATGCAGATAAATCCCGTGTTAATGATGCAGTATTTGTTAACTACTGCGAGAACATCCGGGAAATGCTGGTCAGATTAGGAGGAGATCGTTATGGTGACGTCATGGACAAAATCATGCATCAGAAAACGGACCCTATCACCGAGGAACATTACAAGGAGCTCCTGATGCAGTGGAAAAAGAACGAGGACTGCATCAAGGACAAAATGAATGAGCTGGATAGTGCGACGGAATCTTCTGGAGATGAGGGTGAGTTGTAACAATAGTTAGACATGGAATAATCATGTCAGAACCGACTCTTGTCAGTATTCGGATCTGCTGATACAATGACTTCATGTTATTCCATAAATGCCCTTTTATTGAACATATGAAAATGCAACTAACTTTAAGAAAACAAAGAAATACAGGCAGTCAACCTTGGAATTTATCCCCTGGAAATTGGAGAAAAACAGGGCCTTTCTCGTCATGGACGCCATTCCGTAAAATAATCACTTTCCTAGCTGTGAGGACGGAAATTTTCCCAACGAGCAGAGAAAAGGTACATGTCAGTAAAACTGCCAACGAGAGTAAGCCAAAAAGAACATGCAAAACTCAAAGAAAACTTTAACAAATTTCCCTATGAGTGCACTTTCCAACAAAACATTGAAATAATTGCCTCGTTCAAGAGAGATTTTTGCGTGCTCAGCTTTTGCGTACTCAGCTTCAATTTCTCGCGATAACAGCGCCCAATTCCACCCCCACCCCCACCCCCGGGGGACGGGGACAGTTACATATACCTATATGCAGCTTCCAGTTGTTGTTTGAGGTAAAATAGAACACCGAGGTTAAAGGCTTAAAATGTTTTACCTTAGTTTAACTTGCATTTTCCAAGACTAAACAAAATTTGATGAGTACCAAGTTATTTGCAACTGTTTTGAAAGAGGAGAATAGTGTTGTCTTTTGATTTAGTATTAATAACGGCATATTCGGACTTTTTAACTCTGGCTCCCTCTACTTTGATAATTTCAAATGTATACCTTTTAAATTTTGATTCTGTGATTCTTCAGAAGAAGGACATTTTACCGGTCAACATTTATTCATAATATTTATTTAGTACATTGCCATAGCAAAGTCAGTTTGTTACGTTTATGTCATACTATAGCTTTTCAGTAGTGCTGAAAGTCAAAGCGGTCTTTGCTGTTAGAGCGCGGTGCCTGAAAATTCCGATAAGGCAATGGTCCTATAGAATTCAAAAACTTTTATTTATCAAGTGCCAAAAGAGAGATCAAACAAGTCGACATCATAAACATTCCTGATATCGTATGCATGGTAAATAAACATAATTGCAAATTATATAATTTTTGCCTCTCAGGTTTAATTGAAGTAATTTATATTTCTTAGCTTGGTTAAAATAAAAAGCGTATTTTCTAATCTAATTTATTGTCTTTTTCTCTTTTTCTAGGCATGTCTTATCCAGCGCATGAGATAGAAAGGATCCGCCAGCTCTACAAAACCCGTGAAGGCCGTGTGCTGCCAGTACCATGGTGTGAAGATTTCAGCTTTCATCTGGATGAGATTTTCACCAGGCTCAGGTTTTTGAACAAAGAAAAAAATAGAGGAACATTGGCTGAAGAAATCACCAACATGACAGCTATCTTCAAGGCGCATGAAGGAAGTCAGAAGCCACGGACTGT